GGCAGGAGATGTGGACGACCGTAAAAGTACCTCGGGCATAGCATATTTCTTGGGAGGAAGCATAGTGAGTTGGCTATCACAGAAGCAGAAGGTGGTCGCATTATCATCTCGTGAAGCGGAGTATATCGCAGCTGCAACCGCGGTGTGTCAAGGCGTTTGCCTAGGAAGACTACTTGGTGACCTCACAGGTAAGGAACGAGTGGTGCTCAATATTGATGACGAGTCTGCAATCTCTCTATGGAAGAATCAAATGCATCATGGTAGATGCAAGCACATCGATACGAGGTATCGATACCTAAGGGAGTGTGTGGAAGAAAGCAAGATCGACATCAACCACGTTTGCACCGACGACCAGCTTGCAGATATCCTAACCAGATCTTTGGGACGGCAGAAGTTCGTGAAGATGCGGCGAAGGATCGGTGTTCAAGCTGTGAAGTGAGGACATCGTGTTTAGGGGGGTGATTGTTGGAATTAACCACGATCGGTGGCCTTGTCCAGCTCGGACAGGTGCAATCACCAAGCCGTATAGGTGTATGATTAGGTTAGGCTAGCCTAGTTCCTATATATATACTTGTACCCCTGTAAGATTTTGAACTCAGATCAAAGCAATAAAATTCCCAGGAGCGACACGCTCCTGTTGTTGCAATCCATCAGCGTCCAAGTGTTTTCGCGTGCGTGTAGTTTTGCCGAGTTGTGCTAATCCCGTCTGTTAAGCTAGCTAGCTAGGCTCTGCCAAATCCATCCAGCAGCTAGCTAGGCTGCTTCGTTTGGTACGTGTACCTCTTGCTGTTTGCGTCTACGTACGGCGAGTCTCCGCTCAACCGGCCGGAAAGTAATCGACCGCGGTAGCTTGTACGCGCACGTCGTCGGAAAGTACTCGACGGTTGCGTCGTCAAGGTTGGGACTGTGCCAACAGGGTCGAGGTGGGTCGTTGGGTGGGTCGCGACCCTGATCGCTCCATGACCCCAGATCGGTATGGAAGCTAGCCAAGAACATCTATGGGGGATCGGGAGTTTATGGTGATTCAAGGGTTACCTGGCAATCACGCTCCAAAGTTATGCACTCCGTCACACTGCGGGTGTCCGCGATCCGCCGGTCGACGCGCCTTCTCCCGTCTCGCTCCAGCAGTCCCACCATTGAAGGATACTCACCCTGCTCGCCTCTGCTGCTTGAGAATCCGATAGTACTAACTAGGGATTGAAGACTGTACAAGGAACAGAGAGGAGCGCAGGAGAGTGCTCGATGGCTCGAGGCTTTAGAACTGGATCGGGGACTAGAGCGTTTTGCAAATGAACTGATGCAGAGATTTGGGGACAATTCATGCGAACAACGTTTGTTTCTTTGACACAGGTGCGCATATGCTTGCTGTGAAAGAGAATGGTAGATGAGAGAAAATCACGCCATAGAAGACGACTGACTTGTGACCCCATTCATTCTTACAAAGAAGGAAATAAATCACCGCGCCCATATCATAATCTTTTCCGCGGGAATGGCGGGATCTTTCTTTCCCTTCCATGCAAAAACACCACGACCCGGGGTCTTCGACCCGCAACTGTTCGGATCGCGATCCACGTTCCAAATCGACGTCCCGAAGATATATACTACTCGTCGTACCTCGTTTCGACGGGAGGAGACTTGCCTGCTCCCCTCCCGTGTGCCCATCCGTGCTCCCGCATACGTGGATTGATTTGATTGGAATAAAATAAGACTCGATCCCACCCCTTAAAATCAGGGGATGATTAGATTAGAAAAAAAAAAGAAAAAAAGACAGCCGTTGAATGAGGTGGGAGCACGGATAGAAGCACGGAAAGGGAGCAGGCAAGCCGGATCCGTTCCGACGGGGTGGCGACCCACGACCCCGTTCCTTGACCTGAACGACCCGGATTTCTGGCAACTATGGGAGAAACGGAACAACTCACTTCAGAAGCCTTCAAGGTCCATCTTTTGAAGCGAAATAAGATCGAAAAAGAGATGGTCAAATTCCTGAGAGGAGACAACGGATGATGCCGTGCTCATGGCGGACCTGGCGCTAGAGCACGACGATGACTGGGGTAGCCGCCGGACGTGTAGGCGTCCCAGCCTCCCAGGTAGCGACCTCGTAAGCACGCTGCTGCACCACGCTCTGGGCGACCTCGCGAGGCGCCACGACACACTCGTGATGCTTCGTGTAAGCGAAGTGATCCATGCTACAGTCTCGTCGTCCCCTGAGGCCCTTTGCGTCTACAACATGCAATCCGCGAGTGTGAGGCAGCGCACGGGGTGCCGCACCAGGGTGCATGGCCAAGAGCGAGCCGGACAATCGTCGTATGCTCAGTTTCTTGCAGCTGCGCGGAGGTGCGCACACGGGAAGCTGGGGGCACCATATCATGTCCGCTTCGACAGTAGCCTAGCCGAGGCAGCATCTCCTCATGAATCATGATGCGGAGCCGACGGCTTCGATAGCACGGGCCGACGGGGCGCTGGCGGTCCGGGTGGTCGTGGGTCGAAGTGCAGGCAACACGGAGCGACTGGCAGCCTGGCAGGTCGAGCACGAGGTATGCCTGTGCGGCGTAGGATGACGGGGTGCCGCAGACGATGGCCTAGGCAGGCGTGAGATCGAGCATCGACAAGCTGCAAGCTCGAGCTCGGAAACATCATCATCGCATGCACCCGCGACGACGCGGATGACACCAGCGTATTCGTTGATTCTGGATTGAGGAGTGCTGCATGGTGCTGCATCTGCCACGTCATGGATCCTGTGGACAAGGACTTGACCAATAGGAAGAAAGTATGCATCAAGAAAAACGTGTGCTTTCTTTGCTGTTTAAAACATAGCGAAAAACAGAAAAGAAGTCGTTAGAAATATATTTCTTTATTTTTCAACAAACATTGGTTAGTTTACTTCCTACTTGCCATGTTTCAGATTTTTCTGAGTTTGCATGAATTTCTTGGAATTAAAACAATGAAAAATTCTTTGTTCGGCGTCGAGTCTTGGCACCCACATGTTTGGTATTGCTTTGTTTTTATTGTATAAGGCTTAAATGTAGACTCAAGAATACAAATATGATTTTTCAATTCAATTTTTTCAACCTTTTCAAGCATTTGTAGTTCAAATTTGAATTATATTCTTCAAATGTCTAGAAATGCATTTAATGGTGAAAATATAGCAAACAAACTCCAAAAAGTGCCAAAAATTCAAATGAATCCTATAATGGTCTACCTCGAGTGTAGAAAAATAATTAATACCAACTGATGAAGAATCGGTCGCATCACCTTCAAAACAGACCCGTTTCCTCTCGAAGCCATATATCCCCCTTGTAGATGGTCTAGTTTCCAAAGGGTGTACGTCATAAATTTTGTGAAACTTTTTCAAAATTTTACCACACACTACAGGAATCATATGATGACACGATGCCAAATTTCATGCTTTTAGGAGTCCATTTACATTTTATTGAATTTAAAAACTCACATTCCGGGTCGAGTCTTGGGCCGCTCATGTTAGGAATTCATTTCATTTTCTTATATAAGGCCTAAATATAGACTCAGGAACACAAATATAATTTTTCAGCCCAGTTGTGCCAACCGTTTCAGCCATTTGGAGTTCAAATTTGAATAATATTCGTTAATGTCTATAAATGCACATAATGACTTAAATATAGCAAACAGACTCTGAAAGATGCCAAATTTTGACATGGATCATGTAATGGCGTATCTTGAGTGTAGAAAAAAAATTCAATGCCAATGGATAAAGCATCGGTTGTGTCGCCTTCGAACAATACTCGTTCTCTTTGGAAGATATTTTCTTCTTCGGAGATGGTTCGATTTCTATGCAACGTACACCATATTTTTTTTGTGAAATCTTCTCAATTTTTTACCATGTACTACAGGGTTGATACGATGACACCATGCATACTTTCATGCTTTTCGGAGTTTGCTTGCATTTTTCAGAATTAAAAGCAAAAAAGTCACTTTCGGCTTAAATATAGTAAATGAACATGGAAAGATGCCAGATTTCAACATGGATCATGTAACAATGTGGAAAAAATTGCATTGCCAACGGATGAAGCATCAATCGCATTCACTTACTTCCTATAAAAGAAAATAGATAGGGAGAAAGAACAATATAATAGAAAATAAATGAGCATAAAAGTAAAAGAGGAAACAAATAATGTACAAAAGAAAAGAAAATGAAAAAAAATTGTACAAAAGAAAAGAAACATGAAAAAAGAAAAGACACACAAGAAATGAGAAAAATATTTAAAAAGAAAAAAATGAATGCAAAAAAAGAACTCGCAAAGATATTTTTGCCTAGTGCAAAAGAAAAAGAACTCAACAAAGATTTTTTGCCTAGTGCAAAAGAAAAACAACTCGGCAAAGATTTCTTTGCCCAATGCAAAAAGAAAAAAGAACTCGACAAAGATTTATTTGCCTAGTTCCAAGATAAAAAGAACTCGGCAAACATTTAGAACTGGGCAAAATCTCATATTCTAGTAGCATATAAATCTTGTTGAGTTGAAAATTTCTATATTGTGAAACAAGTATTGTAATTAAGTGTGGGGCAGTGAGGTAGTCAGATAGCAAATATAGCTAGCCCATGCCGCAGTTTCATAAATAAGATTTTTTAAGTATTACTACAATCACTGTTGTTTCGGGTGCTACACCGATAAAAAAGAGCAAAGCTAGATCTCCCAATCTCATTTCTATAATTGCTACAGAGAGGGTGCAGTTCACTACACAAGGTTAATTTTAAGATACCATAAAAAAGGTTAATTTTAAGCATCAGAGCACACAGTTCGTGCTCTTGAAGTCTTTGAGAGAGATTCTTACATTCATGCTCAACTGCATACTAGTTAGAAGAAACTAATTAGTGCTAGTACATCATAACACGAGTCTTCCGTTTCCTTTATACATTCTTTATTTTCCGTGCATTTTTCTAGCATTACTAATCATGGAACAGTACAACGAGTGCACGTCAAGCACCATCTGCTAGCATCACTTGTTGAAGTACGTGTAGGCCGGGTTCAGTCGCGCAGCAACTCGAACAGGTCCTCTAGGGTACTATCCTGAAAATTGTAGTGTATCCAACCGAAATTAGTAGTGAGCAAAAGGAAACAGTATGCATCAATTGGATAAAACCATATGGGTCACAACTTACAGCAGCCTGTCCATCTTCCAAGCCAGCCCATTCTCTCACAACAGCCTCCACTGTTACAAAATTAGCTGCGTACCCCTGCTGCACGTCACCATCTTGTTGCACTCCCACGACACGACCATTTGCAATAACTGGTCCTCCTGAGCATCCACTCATTGATTTGCAATCATGCCTCATCCTTTCCTTCCAGTCCATTTCTTTTGTTTCCCTGATTTTTGGTCCACTTCGTGAAACAAATAAAAGTTAGCATATTAGTACTATAAATTAATAGTGTACTGCGACTGCGAATATGCAATAAAATAAGCTAGATATAGGGAGAGAGGCCTACACAATGCTTCCAGGACATGCTCCGGGTTCAATGGGAATAGGATTGTTAGTCTCCTCCAACTTATCGGGAGTGTAGTATGCCACTAACACGGCATCTGTTCCAATCGTTAAAGTTGTCTCACTGGAAAATATCAAAGCCGGATAATTCTCAGGCATTCCAAACACAGCGATAATCGCTAGGTCTTTCTTGGTATCCTGGTAGAGTATTTCACACTCGAGCTCCTGGTCTAACCCAGGTGCTCTAATGCCTAGCTTGTCCCCAGGAGGGACAAAATATGCAGCGACATGATTACATGTCATCACAAGAGCTCTTCTGTTCCCTCGAGCAGCCCTAACGATGAAACCGCTGCCGGCTAATGTCTCCTCCTCCTTCTTCTTCTTTTTGCGGGAATCATCCTTCTTATGTATCACTATGCATAGAACACCCTTTCTGTGATTCTTAAGTGTGGTTCGAGTCAAGACCTGACGAGCGTTCATCTTCAACGCTGGGTAAAAGTTAACCTGTAAATCAAAATTCTAACGATGAATGTCATCTGGAAAACTGGCCTGGTTACAGGGCTAGTTGCAAATGTACGTAAGCCCAAGCAAAACGCCACCAACTTCTCAGCATGCGACATTAACTGTCGCGTCATGCTTGGTGAAACTGATTGATTTTAGAGGACGGTTTAAAAAAAATGATGATTACAGGACTTGCTTTCCAAAAGTCCAGGGAGGTGAGAGATTCTAGAGCAAGAGGAGAGAGTATGTATGCCTGCAGCTCAGAGCTGAAAAACAAATGCTGCGACCAAAAAAGTGCAATTTGTAAATAAAACTATAAAGTTCAATCATTTTAATACGAAAACAGTGACAGATATAGAAAGGAAAACCCTCGCTTCTTATAGAATAGTCAGCTACAGCGAGTTTCTTGAAGAAAAACAAGGAGGCTAAGGAAAACTACAAGAATGCACAAGGTGGATTCCCAATAGCTACTAGTTCAAGTTGTACACCTTACCTAGCTGCTTGCTGCCCCGCTCCTTCTCCTCTTCAATTTGTCTGTAATAACGGAAGAGAAAAGTTGAGTTAAACAAACACTGGAGAGCAAAACAGATACATTGTTAGCTGCTAGCTTGTGGCTTAACATGATATCTTGCCCTAGCTACCATATGCACATGCAGTGCTCCAGGTACCTTTGGCTGAAGAAAATAGCTACTCTCTCGATCTCTACACACTTACTTTCTCCCTTTTCTCCTCTGATGGGCTGGATGTGCTGTTGCTTTTACCCTCCCTCGGGAACACCTCTTACTGGAGAGAGGGCACCATTTGAACCCATGGGCATATGCACCCACTTTTCAAAAAATGCATTTTAAGCATGTTTTAGAATGTTAAAAAATTCAAAAGAAAATATCACGCATACATGTTTGCAAATGTGTGTACGTGGCACAAAGTTTTATGGAAAAATGTCTTTTTGTTTTCCCTCCGCAAAAAAGACAAGTTTTAGTGCTTCTAAATAGTGTTCCACGACCTAATTTTTTTTTCTTTTTTGCACAGGCCACAAAAAAAGTTATTTTTTCGTGAAACTTTATGCACGCACATAGAACATGAAGACGTACCCGTGCAATTTTTCTCAGATTTTTTTAGAATTTCAAATTGTGCTTTCCAAAATGAGTTCATATGTACGCGGGTTCATCCATGCACTTCTCCCTCTTACTGGCTCATCCTTCTCCTTCTTATAACAAGAAAGGAGAAGTTGGATGAAGAGGGGGAGAGGCCGCGTCGTGAGGATTAAGTGTGGAATTGAATGCTGTAGATATCAATGCATCGGTAGGTTGGTACGCACCATTCAATTCATGTTGCTTTCTTCTGCTTGGCCGGCCGTGAAATTGGCACGACTATGCAAAAGCAGTGTACAACTCCAACGCGGGTAGTGTACAACTCCAACGCGGATAAACAAAACAGACTTCATAAAAAAAAATCTTTCAGGCCTATGCATCAACCATCAAATGATGCACACAACCATTTTATCAAACAAAATAGCATCAAAACACATAGTTAATACCGGTTCGCAAGCAAACTAAAATGCCACAACCGGTGAAAATAGGACTAGATGACTTAGCAGCTATCCTATTATTTGACCCCGTCCAAATCGCATGTACGTATTTCGTGCTACCGCCTTCCAGCGTTTGCATCCACATGCCATATGCTCCCTGTCTTCCGTACTGCTGAGCCTGGGAGTGTGTTCATATGTACGCGGGATCATCCATGCACTTCTCCCTCTTACTGGCTCATCCTTCTCCTTCTTATAACAAGAAAGAAGAAGTTGGGTGAAGAGGGGGAGAGGCCGCATCGTGAGGGTTAAGTGTGGAATTGAATGCTGTAGATATCAATGCATCCGTAGGTGGGTACACACCATTCAATTCATGTTGCTTTCTTCTGCTTGGCTGGCCACGAAGTTGGCACGACTATGCAAAAGCAGTGTACAACTCCAACGCGGGCAGTGTACAAATCCAACGCGGATCAACAAAATGGATTTCATAAAAAAAATCTTTCAGACCTATGCATCAACCATCAAATGATGCACACAACTATTTTATTAAACAAAATAGCATCAAAACACATAGTTAATACAAGTTTGCAAGCAAACTAAAATGCCACAACCGGTGAAAATAGGACTAGATGACTTAGCACCTATCCTATTATTTAAACCCGTTCTAATTGCATGTACGTATTTCGTGCTATCGCCTTCCAGCATTTGCATCCACAGGCCATATGCTCCCTGTCTTCCGTACTGCTGAGCCTGGGAGTGTGTGTGCATGACAGGTGGGGTCTACCTGTCAGCATTCACGAAACATATAAAAGGAAAAGGGCGCGCACCTGGGAATCGAACCCAGAACGCCCTGGTTGCTGGCCGTGTGACTGTGCTAAGGTAGGGGTCTGACCTTCTTTATACCGTCCAAGACCCTGGCTTGGTTTTATTCTACGGAGTAGGAGACGGCGTCGTCGCCAGCGATCAACGGCGGCACGAGGGGGCTCCGTAGGCGGCGGCGGGCGTGCGGGAATGGCAAGGGAGTGCGGGTGCAGTGGCGCGCTTGCAAACTCTCGAGCACGAGCTCATGCAGCGGCGACATGAAGGGGTGCAGAGCTCGTGCGCGTGCAAGCAGAGGAAGCAGGACAGCGCGGGGCAAGCGGGGCTGCGCTGGCGTGGGTGATGCGAGGGGTGGTGTGGTGCGGACAGAAGTGGTGCAGAGAGGTGAACGAGAGCGGGGGGCGAAGCGCGAGCAACCACGGCGTCTACTGCAACTGCACACAAAATTCAAAGATCGCCAGAGCATCGAGATCATGGCAAAGGCGCGACCCTAGCATCTCCTACGGGGATCATCCAGCGTCGAGAAGAAGGGGGGAGGAATCCAGGTATACCTCCTTACCCTAGGACAAGAATACGTGGCCGGGAACGGAGGGGAGGCGTCGGCAGCAGGTCGACGAACTTGGCGCGATCTACTGTCCGAGAGGAAGAAGTGGACGTTGTGGATGGAGTCCTTGAGTGCGCCCTGGCGTCTGAATGGAACCGGGATGGCGCGGGGGTTCTTGTGGGCGACGTGGAGGAGGCCGGAGCGCTGCTAAACCGGCGGCGAGCTCCTGCTCGGGGCAGCCATGGCTCCTGGGAGCAGCGAACAGGCGCGAGAGGGGGATCTGTGGAGAGGCGGCGGCGCGGAGGGAGGTGAGGAGGAGAGGGAGAAACCCTAGGGAGCCGCGGGGTGGCTTTATAGGGGGCGCGGGCGCGGCTGGCTCGCCACCGTGGCCATGTGCTCGTGCCCCTGAACTTTTTACCGTGAGAGCGAGAGGGGGACCGAGGAGGACGAAGAAGAGGAGGGGAAGTCGCTGGCAAGCGGGTCCCGCATGGGCATCCACGTGGTTTTACCACGGGAGAGAGCGAGGGGCTGCGCTGGTGGGCTGCTGCGGCTGCGGTGCCTAGGTAGGAAGTGGGCTGCCGCTGCTGCTGCTGGGCCGCGGCAGATGGCTGGGCTGCCATGCTGCGCTGGGCCGGTCTGCTGCTGCTGCTTTTCCTTTTCCCTCAAACAGAAATAAGGAGCAAAAAGCACAGGGGGATTGGACATGGGTGTGAGAGATATGAAAATCAGTTTGTCTAATTCACATCTAGATGTTTTTTTGAGGATGGCACATCTAAGCTCCCACAAATATAATGCAGCAACAAGAAACAAAAAAAACTAAAAAAAACCCACAAATAGAGTGGACATTAGCTTAGATGTGTCCTAAACAGACACTATGAAAATATCCCCATGACCCTAGATTTATGCGCATAATTGTAAAAATAGTTTGGACATTTTTAAAGGAAGATAAATATTCCAAATTTGAATTAGATTCAAACTTGAGACATTTTTGAACCTGACCAAAACAACTTTAAATGAGCTGAAATTTGGCAGATGAACATTAATGGAGGAGGGCAAGTTGGCACTTGCAAAAAGAAATAAAAGAGAAGGAAGGAGAGGTGGTGATGCATGGATCACACTGTTGGGGAACACGGTATTTCAAAAAATTTACCTACAATCACGCAAGATCTATCTATGTGATGCATAGCAACGAGCGGGAGAGTGTGTCCACGTACCCTCGTAGACCGAAAGCGGAAGCGCTAAGTAAGGCGGTTGATGTAGTCGAACATCTTCGCGATCCAACCGATCAAATACCGAACGCACATCACCTCCGTGATCTGCACACGTTCAGCTCGGTGACGTCCCTCGTACTCTTGATCTAGCAGAGGCCGAGGAAGAGTTCCGTCAGCACGACAGCGTGGTGATGGTGTTGATGAAGTTACCGACGCAGGGCTTCGCCTAAGCACTACAACGATATGACCGAGGTGGAAATATGTGGATGGGGGCACCGCACACGGCTAGAACAATAACTTGTGTGTCTATAGGGTGCCCCCTCCCCCGTATATAGAGGAGAAAGGAGGAGGCCGACCGACCCTCATAGGGCGCGCCCAAGGGGGGCAATCCTACTACAAGTAGGAGTTGGACCCCCCCCCCCCCTTTCCTAGTCCTACTAGGAAAAGAAGGAAGGAGAGGGGAAAGAGAAGGAAGGAGGGGGTGCCGCCCCTCCCCCTAGTCCAATTCGGACTAGGCCCATGGGAGGGGGCGCGGCCAGCCCTTGGCAGCCCCTCTCTCTCTCCCCCTAGGCCCAATAAGGCCCATTACTTCTCCGGTGGTTGAGGGAGTCCTGGATTAGGGGGTCCTCGGACAGCCGGACTATGTACTTGTGTCGGACTGTTGGACTATGAAGATACAAGATTGAAGACTTCGTCCCGTGTCCGGGTGGGACTCTCCTTTGCGTGGAAGGCAGGCTTGGCAATTCGGGTATGTAGATTTCCTTCTTTGTAACTGACTCTGTGTAACCCTAGCCCCCTCTATATAAACCGGAGGGCTTAGTCCATAGGACAACAACAATCATAATCATAGGCTAGCTTCTAGGGTTTAGCCTCTACGATC